AACAGAGAACCTGAACACTATAACAATCGGAGCCCCCCAAAGGGGGAAGAGAGAACAAGGAAAGGAACTGCAGTGAGACGTACCATTAGGGCAATTGGAAAACTAGCATGAACATTTAGGCTGTCAGCACCGGCGATGCCACGTAGGACGACTGGCGTCCACGTTAGTGATTTATGGCCAAAATTAGTCGCAATGACTCAATTGGTAAATTGTCAAAATGTTTAAAAAATCAAATTGGTCAAATTAAAAGGTTTAAGATTGAATCGGCACAAATGCAATATGGTCAAGACTTTTTGGTAATTTTTCCGAGGCTAATGATGCAGTGAAAATCAATATTTGTTTTTCATATGTTATGTGATAGATTTAGGATTTTTTTTATTTGACGTAATCTTTTATTGTCACAATGGTCCTGCTCTATAAATTCCAGGTATCGTGTTCTTTTCCGCTAAAATTAATAACATTAACTTAGTTTTCACTAGCAGAGAGCACATATCAAACAACAACAGTTGAGACTATTTGGATGTCCAACTGCTTTAGTCATTAGATGGAAAGCGACCTCCCATACATAAAGTCCACTCCGATCTGGTATTCTAAAGATGTGAGAATCACCCTAACAGGGGATTTTGTTAAAGATACAACTGTTGGAATTTGTCACTCAAAGTTCTTACCAAAGTTGGAGTTTGGATTGAGCCCAGAGATCGAGATAGGTTGGAGACATGTTTGATGTTGCCATGGTGCAAGGAGGAAGGAGGCCGGTTGCCAAGGCTAAAGGCTCGGGCGTCCGGCCAGATGCACCCAGTAGCTTCCAGCTACGAGGCACCGAGCCGGCGCCTGGCTGTTTAAGGCTTGGAGCCCAGACCATTCCTAGGCGTTGTTGTCACACCGACTTCGCAAAACACAGGATTTAAAGCTTTGTTCTGACCTAGTTTCAAAAGTTACACATTAGAGCAAATAAACGAGTGTTAGGTTTCAGACCAAAAAAAAAAAACGAGTGTTAGGTTTTTCTTTTTGTAAGCCTTTTCGGTGAGTTATCTATGAGAGATTGTGAGATAGCACTTGTGGGTTTGCTTTGGGTGTAATCTAGTGTTAGGAAACTCTTAACCGATTCAGCAATTCTAGCTTTGTAATTCTCTGGATTCATAGAGATTTTCATTGGGGTGCAGGTTTTCCTCTTGAGATAAATACAGACACTCAGACTGAATCATGCAAATCTCTAGTGTTTGTAACATTCCTTATTGATTTGTTTGATAATTTTGTTTCCTCATGCTTGATATTAAATTGCAAGAGTCGTTAACTTCTACATTATTTCACAATAATAACAATGAATAAGGAAAGCAAACAAGAATATTCCGATCTCTAGGCACCAAATTCAAAACATTAGTTGATAGTTAGAGGTTCGTTGTATGAATCTCGACGTATGCTTAAGTTACACTACGTACTTTTTCAAGAGAATTACAAAAAAAGTCTCTAAACCTATTATAATTGAACCAATTTAGTCATAATTTTTTTTTTATCAATTGAGTCATAAATCTTTTGTATTTATGCCAATTTAGTCCATCAGGCCAATTTTGGCTAGCCAGTACTGACGTGGACGTCGGCCTGCACTGATCATCTGGCCAACGCTGACATGGATAATTTTTAATAATATTTTATTTTATTTCAATTTTTTTTATTTTTTCTTTTATTTTTCCTTTTTTTTCTCTCTCTTCTTTTTCCTCCTTCTTCCTCCAGCCGATCACTGGACTTCGGAGACTGGCCAGAGGCGAGGACCTTGCTAACCATTGGCAAGGTTCGTCCCCACCAGCCACTAGCGATTCCGGATAGGAGGTATCGAGGCAAGCTATGAAATCAACAGCTCCACTTTAATCGAAATTATACAAATTTGAACCGTGCTGGAATTTAAGCAACAACAAAGCCTAGAAAATGCAGTAGGTATAAATGTAAACAAATTATGTCGGAATTTAATCAACAACATGGTCTGACTACACCAAGGTATTGCGTCGAAATCTAATCGACAACGCGATACATGGATAAAGATACATGTGGGAATTTAATCGACGACGCGAATCTGAAAGCTATAACTAGTGAAATTGAAAGTACTGTGTGAGGATGCTTAAAGATAAGTGAAATATAACATTTTGTTTGATTTGTGCGGGAGACCTATTGTTGGATAGTTTGTGGTATTTATAGTGAAGGTGTAGTAACTGCTCCTCAAAGATGTTTGGCAGTTATGCTTCTTCAACTAACTTACATCGATCTCATCCATACTTCTTTATTTCCACAAGCTTTACTCGCCCAGGTTCTTGAAGAATTGTCTTCATCATGTGTGGACAGCTTTGCAATCATCGATGATCGTTCCATGATTGGGTCTCTAAATAGTAACTGTTCCATCCACAGTGTGCATGCTCAATGCTAACCGTCTCAATGCTTTCAAGTTTTGAATGGTATTTGAAATATTTCTAATGCGAACTTACCGGCAGCACCCATATTGGCGGCTATCAACCGTTCGTTACCGTAGTTCAACAACTGGACACATGACATTAAAGAATATCGTTATTGATCACCATGTGAAAACTCCTGTTCCCATCGATAGATCAATATGTGCAAGATTGAGCTCATGTGCTATGCATGTGATTATTTTTATCCCTGCTCATATCCTGTTCACATGTTTTCTCATTCGTGTGCCAGGCATGCGTGTATCGATGACTGGATCACTTTTTGCTGTCAACAGATCTATAATACTCAAGTTAACATCTTCATATTTGTCGGTCAATTGGGAGAAGTCCCCATGGAAAAGTAGAGAGGGTACCTCTTAGCGAATTGCTTTTGAGGAAAGCTCAACCTTAGAGATGTGTGGTTAGGATATCCAAGTTGGGTTACATCTGAGGGCCATGTGAGAATAGACCTGGAGGGTGCCCATCTGGCTCCTTAACAATTGCTTTTTAGGGTGTTAGTTGGATAGACTCCTCCCTCTAGACTTATGGATCCTTTACTTTATGAATCACTAGAGTTAGTATCTATCTCTAGCGATTCAATCCTGACGACTAAGTAGACAATTTAGGATTGCATTCCTTAACAATAAGTAGACAATGCAGGATTGCATTAATGTGTCATGTTCTTTAGCTGTTGTTTTCCATTGCTTTGACCCAGAATTCTCGGTGCGAGCGGCGCTGTTTGTTTGCATTCAATCCTAAATTGTCTACTTATTGGTAAGGAATGCAATCCTAAGTTGCCTACTCATTCGTCAGGATTGAATCACTAGAGATAGATTGCTGGAAAAAGGAGAAATAATCATTAAAAGAACTTGTTGGGTAGAGGTATTATAAGTTAAATAAAGTGATCATCTTAAATAAATTTCAGCCCAAAGAGCTAGGTAATAACCAGGTTTGAAGTAAGGGAAAATTCCAATTAAGGACCCCAAGTGGGGTCAAATTCTCAAAAAGGGGTCCAAAGTGAATATTGTATCAAATAAGGGCATGAAGTGCTCAATCAGTCTCAAATAAGGACTCAAAGTGCCCAAAATGTCTCAAATAAGGACACAGGGTCCGGCCAATAAAATACTACCGGCGCAGAAAGTTCTTGTTCGACCACAGAGCGTGCTTTAATTTTTTTATTATTTTCTTTCTTTTTTCCTTTTCTGTTTTTGTTCTTTTCCTTTTCCTTTTCTTTTTCTTTTTTTTATTTTCTTCCTCCGCGGCCATAGCCGGCCAGTGAGGTTGCCGCCTCGGGCGAGGCCGCCTCGCCGGCGTCGGGCGAGGGCCGCCTCGCTTGGGGGGCGAGGCCGCCCTCGAGTTGCTCGGGCGAGGCCGGCCTCGCCGTTGTCGGGCGAGGCCGGCCTCGCGCCGTTGAGCGAGGTCGAGCCTTGCCGGATCTCGGCGAGGCTCGACCTCGCCCGACGCCGGCGAGGCTCGACCTCGCCTCGCACCGAGGCGAGGCCGGCGAGGTCGAGCCTCGCCCGGCCGGCGAGGCCGAGCCCTCGCCAGATCTGGCGAGGCTCGACCTCGCCTGCAACTGGCGAGGCCGGCCTCGCCCGACAACGGCGAGGCTCAACATCGCCTGCAACTGGCGAGGCCGGCCTCGCCCGACAACGGCGAGGCTCGACCTCGCCCGGACGCCGCGAGGCCGGCCTCGCCCGAGGCCGGCGAGGTCGAGCCTCGCCAAGCATGCCGCGAGGCCGAGCCCTCGCCGGATCCGGGCGAGGCTCGACCTCGCTCGCAACCGGGCGAGGCCGGCCTCGCTCGACAACGGCGAAGTCCGGCCTCGCCCGACGCCGGCGAGGCCGGCCTTGCCCGACGCCGGCGAGGGCGGCCTCGCCCGAGGCCGGCGACCTCACGCCGCCCGGCTATGGCCGCGGAGAAAGAAAATAAAAAATAAAAAAAGAAAAGGAAAAGGAAAAGAACAAAAACAGAAAAGGAAAAAAGAAAGAAAATAATAAAAAAAATTGAAAAGTTACTGTTCCGGTGCCGGAACAGTACTTATCTCGCCGGCCGGTAGGTATTTTGGCCAGCCGGGGATCCAGGTCCTTATTTGAGACATTTTGGGCACTTCGGGTCCTTATTTGAGACTGATTGAGCACTTCAGGTCCTTATTTGACACAATGTTAACTTTGGACCCCTTTTTGAGAATTTGACCCCACTTGGGGTCCTTAATTGGAATTTTCCCTTGAAGTAATAACCCTTGGTATTCCTTTGAAGAATGAAGATAGTAGACTACGTCTAGTGCAATTGCTATCATCGTATAATCAAAGGGTGTTGTCCTTTTTTGTCTCACAAAGAAAACAAGGAATAGGTTTTTGGACTTCATTGTCCTTTATTCCACGTATAGTTTCGTCATTTGAAAGAAAAATACAAAACCGAAAAAAGAAAAACAACTGAAATAAGAATATCGAACGAAAAGTTCGAAAACTAATCCCCGATACAGAACAGAATCAATCAAAAGAGATGATCATCGGGCACCACTGCCACCGACCAGTCAATTAGCTCACCAAAAACCAAGTCAACCCTGGCCTATAAGTGTGAGGATGGTGGATTCAGAGGACGTGCACGTACGTAGTGACCAAGCTCCTTCGTTCGTTTCTCAAGATCTGCTACACAAACAATGGACGTTAGTCACGCCACCAATCATTCCTCATCAATGTCTACACGGCCACTCTATGAAGTGTTCCTGAGTTTCAGAGGGCCAGACATGCTCTGCTGCTTTGCAGATTGCCTGTACACCAGCTTGACTGAATCTGGGATTGGCGTCTATAGGGACGAGGAAGAGCTGGAGAGAGGCGAAGAAATCATCCCCCAGCTGATCCAGGCGATCAAGCAATCCAAGATATCAATACCCGTCATCTCCAAGGGTTACGGGTCCAGCAAGAGCTGCCTCATGGAATTGGAGCAAATGGTGAAGTGCAAGGACAACGAGAGTCACGTTATCATCCCCATCTTCTACCACGTCGACCCATCACATGTACGCAATTGCGAGGGCCCTTTTGGGAAGTCCTTGGGCGGGCATAAAAAGCGCAAAATTGATGGCAGCATCATTAATTCCTGGAAATCTGCTCTCCGTCGGATAGGAAATCTGAAGGGACACCATCTCGACAAAACCAGTAAAGAGTAATTTCCATGACACATTCTGCTCTGAGATTACTTTTCTCATGTATCATGCCTACTTTTGTCTAAGATATACTAGGTTTAAATCATATCCAATATATGTTCGTATTATAACTGTGACAACGGTTGCATTCCTCAGAAATACATTTTCTTCCGCTTTGAGTCCCTCTCTTCCCGGTCCTTTTTATTCCATTTACATTTGGCAGGTCTTCTCATGGCAAGCTCATAAAGCAAATTGCCGACCAAGTTCTGCAGAAGCTGGAAAAGCAGGACCTAATTGTTCCGAGACATTTAGTGGGAGTCGATCCTCACATGCTATGCATAATGGCAAAGCTAAAGGTTGACTACCGAAATAAGAAAGCGGTTAATATTAGGCCCACACGTGAAAAGGTGTCAATACATGGCATCCCAGGGGTTGGTAAGACAGCCCTGGCGAAACATGTCTATTATCAAATTTATCATCTGTTTGATGCCTGTAGCTTTCTAGGGAATATCCAAGCCGAAGCTAAGCGTCACGGCGTCTTGTCTTTGCAAAACAAACTGACATCCGACCTCCATAAGGGAAATGTCCGAAAGTTTGATTGTTTTGACAAAGCTCTGACTCATATTCAGAGCAGGTTTCGTATCATGAAGATCCTCATTCTCCTTGATCTGGAAATGCACTTTTTACATTCTCAAAAACGAGAAGAGTACATAGCTCTTTTAAAACAACGAAAACTGAATTGCACTAACTTAGTAACTGACAAAAACCACTACACCACTAACTAGCAACAAAATAGGAACTGAAAACAACAAACTCCTACTATCTTGTTGACTAAGTAAAACCAAAAAACAACCAGCTAACAGACCAGAACAAAAATGACCGAAAATGGTCCTTAAGACATAACCAACATACTCCTCTTTGGCTTAAGGAGCAGAACACATTCCAGCCTTCTTCTTCAGTAACTCAAGTCTGCTTGCTTGCAGTGGCTTAGTAAACACATCAGCCACCTGATCTTCTGTCTTGCAATAGAGTAGCTTCACTTCACCTTCTTGTTGCACTTCCCTCAGATAGTAGAACTTGATCTTGAAATGCTTGGTTCTCCCGTGAAAGACAGGGTTTTGAGATATGGCTAGTGCAGCTTGGTTGTCCACAAGTATCTCGGTTGGTCCTTCAACTTCCATTTCCAGATCCTGCATCAGCTTTCTCAGCCATATTGCATGATTGGCTGCTGCAGTAGCTGCTAGAAACTCAGCTTCTGCAGTGGACTGAGCAACCACTTCTTGTTTCTTTGAGCTCCAGGTGAAACATCCAGATCCCAAAGTAAAACAAAAACCACTTGTACTCCTCATATCCTCGACTGAACCAGCCCAATCACTGTCAGCAAAGCCTTGCAACCTGCAATTGTCCACTTTAGTAAACTTGACACCAAATGACTGAGTGCCTTTCAAGTATCTAATCACTCTTTTTGCAGCTACCAAGTATTCTTCACCAGCACAACTTAGGAATCTTGAAAGCACACTGTTGACACCTAAATTTTTTGCCCAAAAATCATTTTCAAAAAAATTGGAGCTTGTTTTTCCACAAAAATATTTTGGAATTATTCTATAAAAAAAAAAAAAAAAAAAAAAACGGAAGAGCAAGGGCCAAGGATTCGAGTGTAGCTAACCGAGACCTGAGGGATCAAATTGCAAATGAACCAGCAAGTTGGGGCCAAAATACAATTTCCAAAAGTTGGGGGACCAAATCGCAAAATTTGTAAAATTTGCCCCCAAGCCCTTAAATCATCATTTTTACCCCTAATCAAGCTTGAAATTGAAAACGGGCAAGGTAAAATTGATCAGATCAAGCCAAAAGGACTAAATTGGCTCAAATCGGGCATTCTCGGACAAGAAAGTGGCTAATTTTGAGGGACTTTCCTGCAAACTTGGGCATGGAAAATTGCAAATTCTGATTATCATCTTAAACTAATATACTTCAACTTTCAAACTGATCAAAAATTCCGACCAAATGAATGGATTAAAGCACTTAAATTAGCTTCCAAAAACCGGTCCACGATTTGGTCTCAATTCGAGGCTGCTGAGCAGCAAAATTTGTGGCCCCACCATATCCTACTCAGCCAGCCGATCAGCGTGAACTCTGGCCGAGGTGTGAGACCATCATTAGGAGTGCAAATGGACAAAAATTTGCCAGGGATAAGCTGCTGAAGACACGTGATAATCTCAGTCAAACCTGCTCACTCAACAGCTGCAAATTATGATGATTTTGGAGTCAGAAAGTTGGTGAAGAGACTCAGTTTGCAGGCTTGGTAAATGGGCAATCACGGGCTAAAAATCGGGTTGGATTTGATGGATAGGATCTCTGAAGCACGTTCTTTTGGGGGATAAAAATAAAAGGGATGAGAGAAGAGGAGGGGAGTTCACGGTCGTTCCAAAAACTCACCCTCAGACGCAACTAAAAAAAAACATAAACCCAGAAAAGTTCCAGACTGACTTTTGGAGAGGAAAGTGAGATTTTCGTGAACTTCGAGCCAAAATTAGCCAAAACCTTCAACTAGAGAGTGGAACTACATTCAAAGAGATTTCCAACCATAGGTCGCACGCCCCAAATGGATGTCGGGAAGCCACCCAAAATCCCCTCGAAAAGCAGCCCATTCTCGGGTCAAGAGAGAAACCCAGAAATCTTGCGAGTGTTGAAGTCAGACGGTTACTGGTGAGGGAAAGTGGGATTTTTTGAGAGACATGAGGAATATATGAGGATACCTGTGACTTGAAAATTAAACTAGAATACATCTAGTTTGGGTTAGTGTCAAATTAGTCAGAAAAGGAGGTCGTTGATTCTGGTTTTGGAGACCAACAAAAACCTTCGTTGTCAGTTCCTTCTTTGCAGATCTCATTTTCCAGTTTGAAGAAGCCTAGTTCCCCGCGCCCTTGGAAGACAGGTTTTTGGTTCCCTCGGCCAAGGGATACTTCAAAGAGAAACTAGGAAGCAAGGTGAGTATCCTACATGTATTTTTGTTCAATTTTGAATATGTTTTAGTTATGAAAAAATCAAGAGAAAACCAGCCCAGAGAACTGATTTCTGAGGCTGGAATTTTTCTAAGTGTTAGAGCTCCTTCATGAGCCCTAAATGTTTGACTTGCTACTCCTCTTTGCATGCGTTTTCTACCTTCGTGAGCTTGATGAATGTTATATGGGTGTACAAATTAGGCTGAGATCCACTTGGTTTGGTCTTTGAAGCCCCGTGTGAACCATGAGATCGCTTGCAACTTGAGTCAAAAGCCAAGCTAACCCACATTGATTCATGGCTAGTCATTATGAACCATGCATGTATGCTTCTTGGGGGGGTTGTTTCGACGTGTTCGCTTGATCATTCTCCATGATGTTTGTTTCATTTAAAAGTAGATGTTACGTATATTCTCTCAGATGAAGTGATGTTTCCCATAGATCTTGCACGTGATGAGTGTCGGGGCTTAAACCTGGGCATGCAACAGGTTTGCTTGACCTGGGTTTAAACCCAAATTTGCAAAAGCAGCCCGAACCCACATATTGGAGGCCGATTCCAACTTGGTTCTCGTGCGTTTTAGGTTGTGATTTCTAGCTAATCTTGTTCTTTGCATGTGATAATATAACCTTGATACTTTGGTTCCACTTGATATTACACACGGAGATTGAAGGCCACGAATATGGCTCGAGGAAGCCATTTGGGGCATTTTAATGCACACCAAATGCTCGACGAAATGCCCAAACCAAGTTTCGATCTTGAAACGGTTGATTTTAGCCCGGTTCTCGTAATATTCATATTCTGAGTTGTTTCATGTTCACGTAAACCGAGCATAGGCCGATTTAGGGAATTATTATTATTTTAAATAAAAAACGAAAATTAAAAAAAAAATAGAAAAATTTCGAAAATCCAAAAATTGGAAATTGGGTTTCAGAATTGCTTTTCTCTCCCTTTTTGTGTGATTAGCGTATGTTTGATTGCTCCTCGCTTGATTCGCACGCTTTGAATTGCATGTTTAATTTAAACTCGCATGTGGTTGATTATGCATGTTAGGTTCATGTAGTGATTGTTGCTTCCCTTAGCTTGGTCAGGAATGAATTTTTTAAACTCCCAGTTAGTGTGAACACGTTAGGTGGTGAATTGAGCAAGATTAGGTACCGAAAGGGCACTAGTTGGTCAATTAGTGTAATCAAGTCCCCGTACCCATTGAATCTCTGGTTCGTAGAAGTAAAGCATTTCTCCCCTGCTTTGCTTAGGTGTCTAATCGACCCACCAAAAACTGATTAGTGGCGACTCCTAGGTGAAATTGATTTCCATGTTAATAACTTTAACTTAAGTCGCGAATTGGTATGAGCTTGGGAGAGCTCGAGCTAGGTTTAACTTAGTAATCCATTAGCCTAACCCCTTAGGCGGCGGGGCGGTTTAGGGAGGTCGCGACAGCTTGGCGACTCCGCTGGGGACTTGAGGACTTAGGCCTAATATAACTTGATTGTTTGTTAACTAACGTGGTCTTGTGACAGCGCTTCGTGAAGGCTAAGGTAAGTCCACTAACATTGTGTTAAATGGTTTTGTAGGTTAGGAGTTATAAGGGGTGAATTGATTGTTGACATGTTTGTTTTGCAGTTTGGTGTAAAGGGTGTACGTATATGTGAATGAAAATTGAAGTGTTGTTTTGATATCAACTGTTGTGCATGCTTTTACCTGCTTTAGCACTACACCTTGCATACACAAACCGCGATCTAAAACCGCGATCGCCTTAGGAAATCCATAGGAGGTGCCAAAAGTGTGGAAACCGTGCGGGGAAGGACCCATGGCTATCCCCTTTTGGTTCCGCCCATTTTCAAATAGTGATAAAGAGGACTGTCCGACGTAAGTGCGGAATGGGAAAAACTCTTTTGATCTATTTGGGATGGGGACCTTTAGCCTTTAGAACTCCCACCTTTAGTGAGCTTTACGAGTCGGCATGCGATTTGTTTTTTTGTTTGACATATCCACCATTTTTGGGTAAAGGTTTGTACCTCCTTCGCGTTCAATAATCGCAACCCTTTTTTTTCATGCGAATTTAAATTTACTTCATAATAAATAGTGATTGATTTAAATGCCCCTAGGCTTAGATATCATGGGCCTCGATGAACTTCGGATCCTCCCGATCCCAAAGCGAGTGTTGTTGGACATGTGGGATGCTCTCGACCCAAGCAAGAAGAACTACGTGGAAAAGAAGGTCGGCCACCTCCTTTCTCTCTTACATATAGAACCCCAAGTGACATTGATCAAGGCCTTGGCCCACTTTTGGAACCCCGAAACCTCAACCTTTGTGTTTGATCGTCACGAATTAACCCCAACTTTGGAGGAAATTCAAATCATCATAGGCGATGTCCCTTTCCTTAGTGTCGTCGATCCTTCTTTAGGCGTGGATCCAGTCCCTCGTTTGAGTCAAATTCTAGGGGTCCCGCCGCCCGAAATTAGGACACTCCTCAATAGAAACTCCAAGGGTCTCCCACTAGCTTTCCTTGAACAACGATTCCATAGCTTCCTTTCGAGTCCTAGAGCCGAATCCGCTAAGGTCTTCCTATTAGCCTTCTTCGGGTTTGTCATCTTTCCCTTCACTCAAAAAACAATGGATCCCACTGTCATCCATGCTATCGATGGGATCCTTGTCCTCAAAGGGTTTACCAACATGATCCTTGCCGAAATGTTCATCTCTCTCAATCGTTTCAAGAAGGACAAGCGTGTAGCCCTTAGAGCCCCTTTAGGTATTCTCCAAGTCTGGTTTGTGTCTCACTTGAAACAATTCAGTGGAAACTTAGCCATTCCTCATGTTAGTAAGGACATAAATCCCCTTACCCAATTCAAAGAGATAGAAAAATTCCTTCGTCCTTGGACCTTTCGTAATTGGGTAGACTTCCTCGAGAATCTTACACCTAAACAAGTTCTTTGGCAAGCCCTTTGGGTTCCTTTTCCTAAAGTATGCCTTACAAGCGGCCATAGTGACCCAATTCCACTCTTAGGTTTGACGGGATCGACTTCTTATTATCCTTTAAGAGTCGCCCGTCAATTCTATGTGCTTCAAGAAACCCCTCCTCCTCTAAAGTCGGGTTTATTTCGTTTCGATTTTCGCAATGGGTTTATCAAGGGAGACCAACTCGAGGAATTGAAGAACGAGGTGAAACGAATCATCGATTTACTTTACCGCTGCCAACCGAAGGATGTGGAGCGAGCCACCGACTTAGAAGGATCCATGAAGGAGCACCATGCATCGAAGGAATACATAGCGCGACGTGTCGAGCCTGAGCTCGCCGTCACCATCCCAAAATTTCCCGTGATTGCAACCCCCAAGGAGACTCAAATGGGGCGGATCATAAGAGAAAGGGACGAAGCCCTGGTTGAGGCAGAACATTGGCAGAAAGCTTACAAGCGCGTCCGCAACATGCTATGAAGAGGCCCTATATTCAAGACTAGTCATGTTCTATTAGTTTCTTTTAGGGTGTTCTTTTAATTATCTTGGAATTGATGTATACTACTTTTTCTTTTCATGAACTTTTAGGGCAAATGTCTAGGTATGCTTTTTACTATTTAGCGGATGTATAGGGATCTCCTTTCACAAATTTTGATGTAATTAGTGAAATTCCCTCTTTTGTAGGTTGAATGGAACATGACATGGGCATTTTAATCAATCACTATGTGTTACTCCCTTTAATTGTATGATTTCTTACAGTGAAATTTTTATAAGAAACCGTTTACATGAGATGCAGCTTGTGCAAAAAGTTTCTTATCTCAGTTTCATCGTAAGAAAATATAAAATTAAAAGGTATGCAACTTTCGTGTTGTCACTTCACCGCGTACTAATTTCATTCTTTTTGTTTTATTTTATTAAAAAAAAACAGTGCCGAAACTACGGCTTCGAGGCAATCGCCAATCCGGACACGATCAAGGGCCACGCAAATGAATATTGAAGAGCAAAACGCCCGTTTCGCTGCTCTCGATGACAAGATCAATGATCTTGCGGCTCAGCTCACTCAATTCGCTAATGATATGAGGACCGCGTTAGCAGCGCCGAATGCTTGGTCAAGTCCCACCTCAAGCTATTCCCGAGCCCGTAGAAGGACCCGCAAGAAGGAATGTTACTGAGGAGGCATTGGGTTCTACACCCGTAGTGGTTGAACTAGACCCCATTTCGGAAGCCGTCACTGCCCGTTTGGAGGAAGAACACAACAAAAGGTTCGCGGAGATAGAAGAGAAACTCCGTGCGCTACGAGGATACGAAGAGCATATGATCGAGGATTTGTCTCGATATGCACAGATGAGCTTTCCTGAGAAGTTCAAGATTCTTGATTTCACTAAGTATGATGGGACTGGAGATCCAAAGATCCACTTGAAGTACTATTTGAACAGGATGGCGAGGTATGCCCAGAATGTCCCATTAATGATTTAGACTTTCCAAGAGAGTCTGACAGGGCCTGCATTGCAATGGTACGTGTTGTCGGAGCCCGAGAAGTTCGAGAAGTGGGAGGAGTTAGCTGAGGCAATCGTCCTGCAATACAAGTACAATACCGAGATAGCCCCCACACGCGAAGTGTTGACTCGAACTGAAAAGAGAAGAAGTGAATCCTTCAGAGCCTTCGCTCAAAGATGGCGTACTCTCGCCGCTCAAGTTCGACCCCGCTCGGTGAAAAGGAGCTCTTGGATCTTTTCCTCAAAGCCTTGCCTAATGATTTCTATTTAAAGTTGGTGGGTTACGGATGCTTGACCTTCTCTCAGCCGGTAGATGTCGGAGAGAGGATAAAGGGGGCCATGCATGATGGTAGATTGAACGAAGGGACTAGTCGGAAGGTCCCGAATAGAAAAGAAAAGGATGTGGAGATTGCGTATGTACAAGCGCCAGTCACGACGAAGCCCCTTGCCTCATCCTCTCAAGGCCCCTCTGTGTTTCGAGAGAGGGCATATCAGAATCCTGAATTTAAAAGGAGAGCACCAAGGCAATTTACTCCCCTGCCTAGGCCACTATCCAAGTTGTTGCCCATGCTGTTGAGAAGGGGAATGATAGCTAAAGAAGTGCCTCAGGATAATCCTCCAAGATTCCCCGGATTCGATTTGTCAAAGTCCTGTGAGTTCCATAGAGGCGAAAAAGGTCATGATGTGGACAACTGCTTCACTCTTAAGATCAAGATTCAGAATCTGCTCGACAAAGGCATTTTATCCTTTAAGGATCCGACCCCTAATGTTCAACAAAACCCGTTGCCTAATCATCTTGAGAATGTCAACGTGGTTATTGAGAAGAGGCGGCGAGAGTAAGCACACATTTAATGTGGATGTTCACAGACTCTATAAAATACTAGTGTCAGCTGGACACTTCGAGGATGGGGAGGATATTCCGATGGGAGAAAAGTTGAAATGTATCGCTCGGATGGTGGACATGGGGGTAATATATAGTATGAAGGAAGGTAATGTGACGACCATCACGGCTGAGGAGAAGTCAAAGGACACGCCCGCTGAGCGTGTAGAAACTAATGAGCCGACCGACGAGGGTGTGTCGGAGAGTCTAATCATAACCGCCGGTGAAGAAGAGAACTCGCGTGCTGACCTTGGGCTTCAAGTTAGTAGTGTGCATCGTGAGTTCATAAAACTCGCTCGTAAGAAAGGGGAAGTGGTTGACACACTGGGTCAGCCTAGCGGCAAATTGGACTATCTTGTGAAGTATTCACCGCCACCTAGTTTCTTCATCGATCCCAAGGATGTCGTTCCCGATGGGTGGGGAGGTATGGACGACCCGCTCGAGCCTAACGAAGAAATGGTTGGCACGATTACCCCTGTGGTAATTGATTTATCTGTCGAGGAGGATTTATGGATGCCGGACGAGGGAGATGTCGAGCATCTAGTCGTCGACCTTATGGCCAGGGAGTTCGCTACCCTAGAGATCGGTGATGGTGTCATGGAGCCAATCGTGATTGAGCTCCCGCCTGAGGATGAAGAGGACTTGATAATAGAGAAAACCCCGAGTTACAACCCCAAGGCAGTCCCTTGGAGTTATAAGACGGACGAGATTGACGCCATCACACGTTCAGGCCGTTGCTATGCACCTGCTGGGGTAGTCGAGAAGAAAGCCGTCTCGGAAGAGGAGGCGAAGCAGTTCCTGGCAATTGTCAAAACGAGCGAATTTAATGTCGTGAACCAATTGAGAAAGATGCCTGCCCAGATCTCTCTTTTGGATCTTTTTAAAACATCCGAGAAGCACAAAAATGCACTACTAAAAGTCCTTAATGAAGTGCATGTGCCAGAAGATATCGATGATAGTCAGCTAGAGGAGTTCGTAGGGTCCATTTTATTGAAAGATCAAATCTCATTTGCCGATGAAGACTTCCCCGTTGAAGGTCGCAACCATACCAAGGCGCTACTTATCTCGGTAAAGTGTCGTGATAGGATGGTGGCAAGAGTATTGATTGACAATGGATCGGCATTAAATATTTGTCCACTTGCTACCCTTCGTTGTCTGGGGGTAAATGAAGAAAAAATGCTAGTATCCAAATCTACCGTTCGTGCTTTTGACGGTATGAAAAAGGAAGTAATTGGTGAGGTTGAGCTTGAACTACTGATTGGTCCAGTCCTTTTCCTAGTCAGCTTCCAAGTCCTAGATATTCCTAGTGCCTTCAATTTTTTACTGGGACGACCGTGGATACATACCGCCGGAGCTGTACCCTCGAGCCTACGCCAAAAGGTTAAATTCATTGTGGACGGGAAGCTGGTAACTGTTCACGGGGAAACTGACTTTAAGGTTTTTCACGACACGGCAATCCCATATGTAGAACCCGAGGACAAGGCTGAATCGAGTTATCAAACTCTGGAGTTGGTCTCGATGGTCCATGTGCCCGTTGGGACCATCATGCGAGACCTAGACGTGGGTAAGCCGTCGCTCATGTCGAGCAAGGTATTGCTCGAAAATGGTCATGTCCCCGGAACCGGCCTGGGATTATATGGACAAGGTATCAAAGAACCCCTCCGGGTCTCCAAGTGGCGCAGGAAGACAGGCCTGGGTTATCATGGGAGCAATTCTGGTGACCGAGATAACCATGGAGAACGAGGCTGTGTCGGAGGACGAGGTCAACAGGGAGGCCGTGGTGGTCGTGGTGGCCATACTAATTATAGCGGCCAGGCAAGCAACAAAGACCATGGTGATTACGGAGGCCTAGCTAATCAGGGAAGTTGCGGAGGTCGAGGAAGTTTATTTGGATTAGGGGAAGGTCAGAAGGGCCTACTTCTGCCAGAGTTGAAGGAAATCTTCCGGGGGCCACCCAAGCTGCTACAGGAAGAGGAGGCCATTCTTAGTCTCGTCGATCTTTTCGAGGGGGAGTGCATTTGTACCATCACAAAAAATGAAGAGGCCGAGCCTTCTATTGCCACCGCCAACCTTTTTGAGTAGGGATGCTGCTTTTCTTTCCCGTTTAGTCTAGTTTGTGTCCGTGTTCATCCTTTCCATGGGAAGTTCATTTAGGTCTAGGTGTTGTTTCTCCTTGTAATCAAAGTCTTGGACTGCGAGCCGTCGGTCCAGGACCTCGAGTCATGTAAACGGCCCTATCTTATTAATGAAATCATAGTCATGTTTTATTAAGAACGTGTGGAAGTACCCAAACCAGACTGATGATGATGCTTTGAGGCCTGGACTTCCGCACGCTTCTTGATTTCCAAAATCATTTGCAAATAGGGACGTCCAAGGATATGAGGACGGATCCATCATTTTCAAAAACTCTTTCAAAATGATTTCAAAATGCATGCATATCATTAGTTGCAATAACATTTGCCAATTTAATCACTAACCTTCTTTGTGGCATCTCAGGCATAACATTTCACATGATCATGATAGGGGTATATGTGAGTCGGATTTGCTCGACGAAAATTCCTCTGGGACCGAGGATGACAAGGATGACTGTGATTGGAAAACCATCGAACAAGATTGGACTCGGCATGAAGAGTCTAAGCCATTGACCGCAGAGCCTACAATTACAATAAATCTGGGCGATTCGGAGAATGTTAGAGAAATCAAGATTGGAGCTGACCTTTCTAAAATCAAGATTAGAAGGATGGTTGACCTTTTAAAAGAATACCAAGATGTGTTCGCGTGGTCATATGCGGATATGCCGGGGTTAGATAGAGAAATTGTAGAGCACGCTCTGCCAACTGATCCGAGTATCCCGCCGAAGAAACAAAGGCTCAGAAGAACAAAGCCCGAATTATCCAAGAAGATCGAAGAAGAAGTCATGAAGTTGTTGAAAGTGGGCTTCATAGAAGTGTCGCACTATTCTGACTGGATCGCCAATGTAGTCCCCGTTATGAAGAAGGATGGTCGGGTCAGGGTTTGTATTGACTACCGCGATCTGAATCGAGCAAGTCCGAAGGATGACTTCCCGCTGCCTCACATCGATGTGTTGGTCGACAGCACCGCGGGATTTGAGCTATTTTCTTTTATGGATGGATTTTCTGGCTATAATCAAATTCGGATGAAAGAAGAAGATAAAAGTAAGACCTCCTTCATTACCCCTTGGGGGACCTTTTGTTATAAGGTAATGCCTTTTGGCTTGAAGAATGCCGGGGCAACGTACCAAAGAGCAATGGTCACGCTGTTCCACGATATGATGCATAAGGAGGTAGAGGTCTACGTAGACGATATGATTGCCAAATCCAAACATGGAGAAGACCACATCGAGGTGTTGCGGAAGTTGTTTGACCGACTTCGAAGGTTCAAGCTAAGACTTAACCCCGCCAAATGTATGTTTGGGGCAAAATCTGGGAAACTATTGGGGTTCATGGTCAGTAGTCGAGGCATTGAAATTGACCCGTCAAAGGTTAAGGCCATTTGTGATTTGAAGCCTCCTTCAACTGTCAAAGAGATTCGGAGTTTGCTAGGGAGACTCAACTATGTGGCGAGATTCATTTCTCAATTGTATGAGACGGCTAAACCTTTTTTCAAGCTCTTGAAGAAAAATGCCAAAGTTAAGTGGGATACTGATTGTCAAGAGGCATTTGAGAAAATAAAACAATATCTTTCTCATTCGCCGGTCCTGGTGCCACCCGTCCCTAGAGTGCCGTTAATACTCTACCTGACTATTCATGATGAGTCGTTGGGGGCCTTGCTAGCTCAGAAGAGACCAAGCGATGACAAAGAATGTGCGGTATACTATCTCAGTAAGAAGTTTACTTCATCCGAAATAAATTACCCCGGAGTTGAAAAAACATGTGCGGCTTTGGTGTGGGTATTACACCGCTTACGCCAATACACACTCCATCATCGGATCCTACTCGTAACTGAGAATGATCCCATCAAATATTTGCTGGAAAAACCTGCGTTGGTCGGAAAGTTAGCAAAGTGGCAAGTTCTAGTGTCCGAATTCGATGTCCACAGCATGACGCAGAAATCTGTCAAGGGAAGAGCTATAGCTGACATGCTGGCAGAAAACATCGAAAGGTCGGAAGACCATGATCGATCGAGATCCTATAGAAGAGCGCATTTCGGAGATAGTGGACGATAAGTGGACTATGTACTTCGATGGTGCCGTTAACTGGCAGGTTCGGGAGGGAGCGAGTTCTTATCTCCCGACGGTCAACATCACCACGTGGCCGCCAAGTTGGCATTTCCTTGTACCAACAATATCTCGGAATACGAGGCTTGCATCTTGGGATTGCAATTGGCCGTCGACATGAAAGTTAGGAAGGCTGCGGGTTTACGGCGATTCCGCCCTCATCATTCTTCAGACAAAGGGCCAATGGCGAACCCGTGACTCCAAATTGATTCCTTACCACGAATTCCTTGAGGAGTTAATAAAGGAATTTGATGAGATTTCCTTTGAGTATTTACCCCGATCGCAGAATCAGTTTGCCGACGCCCTGGCCACGTTATCATCAATGTTGCAAGTCATGGAAGGGTTAGACATTGAGCCACTGAAAATCGAAATACTGACACGTCCCGCTTACTGTTCGGCGATCGCAGATGAACTCCTGATGAGAAGCCGTGGTATCACGACATCATGAACTATCTTCAAAGGGGTGAATATCCTCCTGGAAGTGAACTAACAGATCAGAAATACATAAGGAAGCTAGCGTCAAAATTCTTCATTAGTGGCAACGCTCTTTACAAAAGATCCTTTGACTCAATTTTGTTGAAATGCGTCGATGCCAGAGAAGCTAATCAGTTGATGAAGGAAATTCATGAAGGAGAATGCGGTCCGCACATGAACGGTCATCTTTTGGCCAGAAAAATCATGAGACTGGGTTACTTCTGGATGGCTATGGAGGCTGACTGTATTCGGCATGTTCGTTATTGTCATCGGTGCCAAATCTATGCAGATAAAATCAATGTACCGCCAAATGAATTGCGTCAAATGTTCGAGCCATGGCCCTTCTCAATGTGGGGGATCGATATGATTGGGCCAATTATATCCTAAGGCTTCCAATGGACATCGCTTCATCTTGGTAGCCATCGATTACTTCACCAAGTGGATCGAGGCGAACTCATATGCTAATGTCACCGCCAAGAATGTGGCCAAGTTTATTCGCCGTGACATCATCGCTCGTTATGGAGTCCGGAGGTGATCATCAACGACAATGGCTCAAATCGAACAACAAGGTTGTAGATGGCTTACTTAACGAGTTTCATATTCGTCACTTGAACTCCTCACCTTACCGTCCACAAATGAATGGGGCTGTAGAGGCAGCCAATAAAAACATAAAGAAGATCTTGTCGAAGACTGCCGACAATTACCGAGACTGGCATGAACGTCTACCTTATGCATTGATGGCGTATCGAACTTCGATCCGCACTTCGACAGGGGCGACTCCTTTCTCGCTCGTTTATGGTATGGAAGCAGTTTTGCCTGTGGAGGTTGAAATTCCTTCATTAAGGATACTCTCACAAGCTGAGCTCTCTGAGGAAGAATGGACTCAACAGAGATATGATCAGTTGAACTTGATCGATGAGAATAGACTAAAGGCTTTATGCCATGGTCAATGTTACCAAAAGCGAGTTGCCAAGTCTTTCAATCGCAAAGTCCGGCCTCGACATTTTAAAACCGGAGATCTCGTACTAAGGAAAGTGTTGTCCATCACACCCGAATTAGGTGGGAAGTTCGCTCCAAATTATGACGGTCCGTATGTCGTTAGAAAGGTTCTACCTGGGGGTGCTTTAATTCTTGTAGAAATGGATGGCCAAGAGTTGCCAAAGCCTGTAAACGCCGATTCGGTAAATAAGTATTTTCCTTGAATGAAATCCGAGGCCCGAGAACCATTTTCGATGCAATCCGAATCACTGTAAGTTATTCACATCATGCATATCATGCATACATGCATACATGCTTACTTTACAGGTCCCAAACAATCCGCAAATTGATCCGCAAATAACTGAACCGTCTTGGCAAGCATCCAACAAGCTAAATGTGAAGGAGGGGGTTACCAAGTCACTAGGCCGCAGGTAAGCACCCTTTTTCTTAATGCCAAAAGAAGGTCGAATGGAAAATTTGCTTTGAACAAAAAAAAAAAACAACAAAACACAATAATAAAAGAAAAAAGGTTTTCGGCGAGTTTGAGAAAAGCAAGCATAAAAATAGAAATTGTGAAAATAAATTTTTCACAGAAATTTTGAATGTCATGCTTGTCCAAAGTTGCCTCGATGCTTGGTGGAACGTTCATTTCGAATCAAAATCCCCAATGGAGATCAATCAACTCAGGTGATCTTGACGAAACAAGAGGAAATATGTTAAATATGCCAAGCGAGAAGCACTTAGAATGAAGAAAGGCGAACCATTCCCAAACACGTCCTATAAACACTTTGTAAGTTGGGTGCAAAAACCGTGTTTTAGGACGAGAGATTCATTCGCAAATTGTACATGGATCAAAGTGAAAAGAGGCATTTCTTTCATATATCCTACACACTACAGGTGATCATAGTTAAGCCCATTTGAGCCTTTAAATGTAAAGAATTCACAAAATGTCCCTGTCAAGAACCACCCCACAATGGGGCAAATTTGGAGGTTCTGGTTGACACCATTTGGCGAAGAAGATGGGAAAGACTTCTTTGCTCTTACTTGCATTGATCTTTTGTGATAACTTCAGGTGAGTCCTAATGGAAGCTCAAAGCATCCCAAAGTGAAGAAGAGCGTTTCATTCTCTACCCAAACACTTATGCCCTTTGCTTAGCCAAGTTGAGCCTGAATATTCATTTCTAAAGCCCGAGTGGTGATTATCTCCCTACACTGGGACAATGCACATGATTTACCAAAGCAACTGGTGCTTGTGTGACAACGTGTGGAAGAATCTCGAAAGTCTTAGGGGCTCAAAATAATCAAAAGAGAAAAAATCAAGTGAAAACTAGAGGGCATGAAAAAGCAGTGTGCCTGGTAAAAGCAAGGCCAATGCCCATTGTAAAAAAAAAAAGCATCTCGAGAGGAATTCTTTCGTAAAAAAAAAAAAAAAAAAAAAAGATGTCGAAAGAAAAATGCTTGCATGAAAGAAAAACCATTGCAAAGGCGAAAGCCATTAGAAAAAGAGCAAAGTTCTTATGTCGAAATGATTTGCCAATCGACTCTCGAGGCGAGTTAAGACGAGATATGGTAATGATGCCACGATAATCATCAGTTCTTAAATCTTTTCGGAAAAACTCGAGCCTTTTGAGCCTTTCACCGAACCAATCTTACAACCCTTTCCAAAGTCTCTTCCGATTGGGATGGTTCGAGCAGAAGTTTGGATTTCCAAAGAAGCTACCGCTTGAAGAAGTGGAGGGCAAGGTTATCTTATCTCATCTTAAGGTCTCTTGACTTGTAAACACTGGCGGAGATGCTTGATCCACAATAATTGCATTCCTTAGCCGATAATACTCATCCATTGTTGAAGCCGTGACCAAACCTATATTACGGTCCTTTAAAAGACCTCTTAGATTGGTCAACGTGTACTTATTGCGAATGATTCTCAAAACCTTCGACAGTGGTCATGTGAGGTATATCTTGAGTGATCAGACCATTTCCCACATTAATGGATGGGATCAAACAGCCTTCTTGAGAGTTGTGAGAAGCCCTTTCCGACTATAGAGCTCTTGTTTGGCATGTTTAACAAGCCCTTTTCACGAGTTAAGATCATTTTGACAAAAGATTTTCTCCTAAGGGAATTTGATGATTAATGACATTCCTCAAGCCTAATGACAATCTTGTGATATTGAATGATATTGACTGTTTTCCAAACAATTGAATTTAGTTTGATTCACTCATGCAATCAACACTTTCTCCGTGAATGCATTCTTTTGATAGTGTCATTCATGACATTCGAATAACATCGATCTCGCCTGGTATGCTTTCCCTATCAGAGCACCTGTTATAACATATTCCGTTAGATGTGCAATGGCCATTTCGGAAACTTTTTGCTTGATATATTTACAGTCCAGAATTTTTGCACGGTGAGCTTTCGCAGCTCGGAGCACCTTATCGACTTGGCGAGCTTTCGCAGCCCAGAGTCTTTTTCCTTGCCTGGCGAGCTTTCGCAGCCCAGAGCACCCCATCGACCTGGCAAGCTTTCGCAGCCCGAGTCTTTTCCTTGCCCGGCGAGCTTTCGTAGCCGGAGCACCCCATCGACACAGCGAGCTTTCGCAGCCAGTGTCTCTTTTTCCTCGCGGGTGAGCTTTCGCGGCCGAAGCACCCCATCAACTTTGGCGAGCTTTCGTGCCGGAGTCTTTTTCTCAACTTTGGCGAGCTTTCGTAGCCCGGAGTTTATTTCTTTATATGGTGAGACTTTATTTAGCCAAAAATCCGTTCTTACACGGTATGGCTTTGTTTTCGATCAAAGTCCGTTCTTACACGGCACAACCTCTTCATGTAGCCACAAATCCGTTCTTACACGGTATGGCTTTGTTTTCGATCAAAGTCCGTTCTTACACGGCACTACCTCTTCATGTAGCCAAAAGTCCGTTCTTACACAGTATGGCGTCCTTTGTTGTTCATAGGGTTTTAGTCCCTAGGCAAAATCTTTGACGTTCATAGGGTTTTAGTCCCTAGGCGTTCCTTCAAGGTGTTGTTCCTATTGCCGTTCATAGGGTTTTAGTCCCTAGACGGGATCTTAGCTGTTCACAGGGTTTTAATCCCTAGGTGGATTTTCCGACGTTTACAGGGTTTTAGTCCCTAAAAGTCATTTTAATTTTGTCCCTAAAAAAAAAAAATCAACAAAAAAATCAATCAACAAAAAAAAAATCAGCAAAAAAAATCAAAAATCAACAAAACAATAATAATAAAAAAAATAGATAAAAAAAAATCAATCATTCCTCATGCTTTAGCCATTGCGCCATCCCATGCCCTCCGCAAAAAATTTTTAGGTGTCTCTTGTCTTTGAAAGGAACCTCCGCAAGCTCCCCTTCAAAGAGGGCGGTGTGACACCCTACATTTTTGCCCAAAATCATTTTCAAAAAAATTGGAGCTTGTTTTTCCACAAAATATTTTGGAATTATTCTATAAAAAAAAAAAAAAAAACGGAAGAGCAAGGGCCAAGGATTCGAGTG